CACCCGTGGACTTTGCTCCTCGTCGCTTGGCGGGGGAGGCTGCTGGGGGTCACCCAGGGCACCCCACGGGCTGGCAGCGGCTCTTGGTTGCAGGCAGGGTGATGTGGCACCATCAGAGCGCAGCGATGGGGATTGCTCCCCGCTGCCAGGGTTGTCCCCGCGTGGGGACCACGGCTCGCTTGCTTTAAGGTTTGGTTCCCAAAGTGTGGACAGTGTGAACACACAGCATCTCCCAGGCTGCCTCATCCCACCTTGGCATCGTTTTCCTCGTGCCAAGGGGATGCCGTGTGGTTAGTTTGAAAAAAATCACCTTTTTTCCTTCTCTTGTTTCCTGGCTGTGTCAATGTGGGCACAGCAGGTACCGTCTGTGTCCCCTGGATGGGTACCATCTGGATGGGTGTCCCCTTGCCAGGCGCAGGGACACCCATCCAGACAGAGAACTGCTCAGCACCGCTGGCCAGGGTTCACCACCCCCCGTTTTCGGGGTGACACTGGCAGACTGGGCCACCGGACGGTGCCGTGGCCATCGGGCACTGGCGGGGAGCGGGGCCGGCTCTGGCAACACTATTTTTGTCCCCCTGTCTGGAACGGTTTTCTCTTTATCAGCGCCTGCGTGTTTTCTCTGCTGGGGATTGATACACAGAAGATGAAGTGCTCTGACATGGGAAGTGTCAGGCGAACGCTCTTATCTCGGAGACATGGTCTCCTGACCCAAACGCCGCTGATTACCAGTGAGACAGGGGGAAGGGGGGGTTGGGGGGGGGAGGACAAAAAGGGGGGAGCACGGAGGGGAGGAGGTGGCAGTTGGATTCCGTTCCCCAAAAGCAGCCAGGCTCGGCGGGGTGGCAAAGCCAGAGGGAAGCCACCACCGTTGGGGCTGTCCTGGGGATTTAGGGGTTTGCTGTCCCCTCCCTGGTGCCAAGGGGTGTGAGGACCAGTAGCCTGTGGATTTTGGGACTGCAATGGAGGGTCCTTCATGGGAGGGACCAGGTGGGCCAGGGGCGGCTGCTGCCCATCCTTGGCACCTCTTCATGCCAGGGAATAAATCCCATCAGCTCCTGAAAAGTCCCTGCCCACCTCCTCCCTGTCCTGAGATGGAGCCAGTGGGTGACAGGGGATGCCAGGGGTGTGGGGCGGGCAGAGCCAGCCCCCTGCTCACTCCCAAAACTACTCTGCTGGGGATGACATCCCAGCTAGAAACAGAGCTGGGATCCCTGTGGCTGGGGTGACTTTCTGAGCATGCTGGCTCCAAACCGAGAGCTCCTGGATTGAAGGTGCCGAGGGGCTGCAGGCAGGAGGTGCCATGGGAGGGGGAAGGCAGAGGAGCTGCAGGCAGAGCCCACCTCTCCATTCACCAGCACGTTGCTGGAGGCTGGGGCACAGGGATGGAGGGTGGCACATGCCTAAGCATGGGGACCAGCATGGTGACCCCAAAGACTTCAGGGACTTTGGACACCTTTTCTCCAGCCCACATCCTGGCAGGCAGAAGGTTTTGCTGAGGGGCAGACAGCAGGTTTTTGCATCCTGGGATGCGCTCGGAGCTGCATCCTTGGCAGCACAGGGCTTCCTCATCAGACAGAGGGGACCCGCAGGTGACAGCAGGCGCCAGGTGATCGCGGGTGCCACCAACCCACGCTCACCACCCAACGCTTCCAGTCGCTCACCTTAACTCACCCCAGCGCCGAGAGGATCCAGATGTCAGCCCGGCTAATAAACACATCAGATTTCAATCTCCGCAGCCATGGGATCGCTTTATCCTCCCTGCGCTCCCAGCTCTGAAAGCAATTTTGCCTTCAAACGAGCGCAGCCTCCTCCCTGCCCACGGGACCCGGGCACCAGCTGTGTCTGCCACGCTGACCTCAAAGGATGGGGCTCTGGGCAGGTGGCTTTAGGCAGGGTCCTGGGCAGGTGACCCAACCTCTGCCCCAGAGCACCCTGGGGTGCTGGGAGCCCTCACGGACACAGCTGGGTGCCCTGGGCACCCTGCCCCCATGGTGGCCCACTTGGAGGAGCTCCATTGGAGGAGCATCTTGGGTTTTGGGGCACAGCATCTGGCCCCTTCCTGCTGCACGGCAAGGGGCAGCCGGTGTACATCCATCTGCGTATTGGTTACCTGCCATCTTATCTGCGCTCCGAAAGACAAAGGCACAGTTAAAACATTTTAGAGCAGCCTTCATAGCGTATTAACTTGTTATCTAACCCATTAAACCAGAAGCTTATCAGATAATCAAAGCCATTAAGCCCTGAAGCTGCTGCGACTTTGGGTGCGGGGATGGGAAATGCTCCTTCCTCCCCGTCACGGCATGCTCGGACCCCCCGTGCCGTGCCTGGATCCCCCGGTGAACGGGAAGATCCCACCCACTCACCCACCGTGGACACGCAGCCCTGGGGCACCCACCAGCAGCTCTCAGCTCCGAGTGGGTCCCCACATCCCTGGGGGACCTGGGGTTGCTGGTGGGGGGGCGGTTCTGGCTGGGGGACATCGCTGATGCTGTGCCTGTCTCCCCACAGATGAGCTGGATCTGGTGGTGCAGGAGGGGGAGAGACGGGTGCGAACTCGCAGGAGCCTCCCCGAGGGCTTCTCCTGGGGACCCTTCCAGGGCAGCATCCACAGCGAGACGGCATCTCCGGGGCACAGCGAGACGGTAAGGAGCACCGCTGTGGGCTCTGGGGACAGCGGTCCTGAGGAGACTACTTGTTTGGGGAAAGCATTTTATTTGGGAGGGATTCTCCTTGCCTGAGCTCTTGACCCCCAGGAATCGCCTGGTTTGGGTGCCCAGGAGGTTTCCCCGCCATACGCTGCCCACCCCGCTGAGATCAGAGCAGCACAGCGGGACAGGATGCTGCCTGTCCCCTCCTGTCCCCTCCTGCACATGTCTTTTTTTGAGCGGGCTGCTCCATGGCACATACGCCCTCGCGGAGGAGATGGGATCTGGGTTTCCCACCCCAAATTTGGTCCCAGGGGCCTGTGGTTGTGCCTGGGAAGCACCAGGGCTCTGCAGCCCGTGGTGAAGGGGCAGGAGAGGAGGCAGTGGTGGCTGTTGGTGGCAGGAGCACACCATCAGCCACACGCTGTGCCAGGGCGAGCACTGGGGGGTGTGTGTGTGCATAGGGGTGTTGTAGCTGCTGGATCCTTGGCATCCCAGCCACATCCTTCACCCCCCCAAGCCACACGCGCGTAGCTCCAGCCCAGGATCTTCAAGGCTGGAGGATCTCACCCAGGCTCCATCCCCACCTCCACCTCCTCCTCCTCCTCGTCTCTCCCTTGCTCTTTTTTCTTTTTCTTTTTTTTTCTTTTCTTTTTTTTTTTTTTTTTTTTAGCTCAGGCCCGTTTATCTTTGCCGAATTAAATCCTTGATTAACCCTTATCTGCCCAGTTTGGCTCCCTATCTCCCGGTTGGCGCCGTGTGTCCAGACACCCGGTACAGGATGATTGATTTCTTAAAGATATGCGCGGCTTTTTTCTGATACTTCATTTATTGTCTAAATATTTTTGCTCCCATTTCAGCAGCTCTCTTATCGAGCCCGGCTGATGATTCCCAGCCCTGCTCTCCTCTGCCGCTCGCCTCCCTCCCTATCTCTGCTCGGGGAAGCGAGGAAGGAATCGCAGCCCCATCCCTGATACGGGCTGTCGCCCTCGGGTCCCTTCATCTTTGTTGCTGGCGGCGGGGGGGTTGTAGGGTGGGTGCAGGGGTTCTTCCCCCAAATCCTGCCTGGCTCTGTTTTCTGTCTCCACGTGGGAGATTATCCCATCCTGGGGTTTTAGTGGGAACTGGGAACACTGGGTGGCTTTAACACCTCTGTGGCGTGGAACATGGTGTGTGCCCATTGCTGCACTGATGGAGGAGAAAGAGGAGGAGGAGGAAGATGCCTGTCTGCCCCCCCCCCCCCCCACC